GGCGCCCCCTGCGGCTGGGCGCGGGCACCGCAGCGCCCCCTGCAGGAAAGCGGCGGACGGTGCAACTCCCCCCTAGCGCGCCTACTTCTAGAGCCCCCCCCTCACCTGTTTGGGGAGCGGTGGTGGGACTGCGGGTGCAATCCAGGGGGAATCGACACAGCAGAGCCGCTGCTGTTCTGCGCTCCTCCCCTCACGCTCCCTTTGAGAGGGCTGTGGAAGGAGGGGGCCAGATTGGAGAGACCCCCTCCCCCACACACGTTGTGCGGAACGGGATCCACAAATCTAAATACACACCCTGCTCACCTGCGCCCTGGGGCGGGGAGGCAGCCCGGAGGGAACCAGCTAGCCAGCATGTTTCCCTGTGATCACTCTGGGGTGGTCTCCCAGGCTCAGCTTGCTTTCCAGCGGTTTTTCTAGACCTTTGTTCTAGGCCACCCTCCTAGCTTGTCATTCTAGATTCTTTTCCCAAGCTCTTTAGCATTCAGCCCCAGTGCTTTTCACCAGGGCCAGGGGAGGGGAGGGGAACATGGAAGAGCTGTGCTGGAGACCCTGGTGGCCTTGCTTTCTCTCCCCTCTCTAGGTAATGGAGCCCAGCCCATCAGAGAAAGACAGGCGGCTCTCCGAAACCTGGCACCCACCTTGTTGCTGTGGCCCTAAACCCTGCTGCTTCTGCTGGTGCTGCTGCAGCAGCTGCTCCAGGTGACTGCTCTGAGCATGACATACAAGCACCTTACCTCTGTGGGGTTCTTGCAGACGAAGCCTTTACAACCTCCGTAGGCACCTAAGAGTGTAGGAGAAAAAGTTACAGGATCACGGGGAGCTTCATTCAGAGTGACCTGTATTGGAGGTATCATGTGGCCAGGACTAAAACATTCTGGTAATGTCTAACCATTGGAGGTGACAATTTCCTAACTCAAAAAGTGCTGCAGCTAACATGTGGGATCCTATGTTAAGGGTTAGAGGGTGGAATCTTCATCCCTAGAGGTTTTTAAGTCCCAGCTTGACAAAGCTCTGGCTGGGATGATTTAGTTGGGGGTTGGCCCTGCTTTGGGCAGGGGGCTGGACTCTTCTAACCGTAGGAGTCTATGAAAGGGAAAGTTGATAGCAATGAATATAAATCAGAAGTTAGGAATGATAGAAAATTGATAAGGGAAGCCAATGGATACAAGGTGGCATATATGGCCAACAGAGTTAAGGTCTACAAGAAGGAGATTTTTAAAATGTATTAGAAAGAAAAAGAATCCTGACAGCGGTACTGTTCACTACCTAATGGAAACAATAGAATTATCACTAGAAATATAGAAAAGGTGGATATGTTCAATATTTCTCTTCTGTATCTTGTGGGGAAAAGAGATAATGCAGTCTCATCATCTGGTGGTGATAGCACATTTCCCACTAGTATTTCTGGAGGATGTAAGACACAAGCCATTAAAGATGGCCATTTTTAATTCAGCAGCAGCCAAGACTTTTGAAACAGCTGGCTGAGGAGCTTGCTGGGCTGTTAATGTTGATTTTTCAGTCCTGGAGCACTAAGGAAGTTTCAGAAGACTGTAATAATGCTGATGGTAAATTGGATGGCCCACATAATTATAGACTATCATCAGTCCCAGGCAAGATAACTGAGCATATGATATGGGATGTGATTAATAAAGAACTAAAGGAGGGCAATGTAGTTATTGCAAGTCAGTGTGAGTTTATGGAAAATAGGACCTGTCACACTAACCTGATATCTGTTTTTAATGAGATTGCAAGTTTGGTTGATATAGGTTACAGAGTTGCCATTGTAGACTTCGATAACACATTTGTCTTGGTATGACATGTTATTTTGATTTTTAAAAACTCTAGAATAATATAAATGGCATATTAAATGGATTAAAAGCTGGCTAATTGTTAGCTCCCAAAAGTAATTGTAAATGGAGAATTGTCATTGACCAGGTCTGTTTCTATTTAACATCTTTATTGATGACCTGGATAAAATTACAATTGTATCAGATTTTAATAATCACTGATCAAATCTGGCACAGATCCACAGTGGTCTGTGTTTTCTGGGGAAGCTGGATGCAAATAAACAACACGCATTTTAATATGGCTAAATGTAAACATATGCACGTAGGAATAAAGACTAGAGGCCATACTACAGCGCGGGGGGGCTCTGTCTTGGCAAGCAGCAACTCGGAAAAAGACTCGGGGAAGGTGGTAGATAACCAGTTAAACAAGAGCTCTCAGTGTAATGCTGGGGCCAAAAGAATAATGTTGTCCTTGCGGGAGGTCTATTTCATAGGGCAAAGTCGACCTACTTTATGCAACTCCACCTACAAGAATACCGTAGCTGGAGTTGACATATCTTAAGTCGAGTTATTTAGAATCTCCACTGTAGGGGGTTGATGGGAGAAACTCCTGTCAGCTTGCCTTATACCTCTCGTTCCAGTGCAGTACCAGAGTCAATGAGAGAGCGATTAGCAGTTGATTTAGCGGGTCTTCACTAGACCTGCAAAATCGACCCCCGAGGAATCAATTGCTGCAGCCTCCATCCCCCAGTAAGTGTAGGCAAGCCCCAGTTGGGATGCATAACCAGGGGATGGAGTAGATAAGTCAGGGGTCTGGGAGTCCCAGTCAGGGAGGTGGGGCCTATTGTGCTGGGCACTATATATGCACAGTTGCAGTCCCAAAGAGCTTGTGATCTAAGTTGTTATTGTTAGTTATCAAACAGATGGGGCTTTGCTTACTATGGCTGAGTAGGCATCACAGGGAAAGGAGGATATAGAAAGTAAATGGAGTAATTAATTATCTAGCTGCCTCTGCTTTGATGGAGCCCCCCAATTGACTATGCCGCCTATCTCTTTGATAACACTTTTCATTAGTAGATCTCCAAGTGCTTTGCAGTCTCGTTATCACATTCCATAGATAGGGAAACTGAGGCACAGAGAAGGGCCTTGCACAAGGTGATCCAGAAGAGAGAAGAATAGAACCCAAGTTTCCTGCATGCCACCTGTCCAGTACTCCACGCCAAAGCCAAACTGCTTCCCTTATCAACAGCGAGATTCCCAGTTTTGCTACTCCAAACCATGCAAATCTCCACAGTTCCTGGACTTCCTGGGAACCCTGCGGAGGGCTGGGATCCTGTTTGTTCACACAGACAAAACGCCACCGCCACTCTCCTCCGCCAATCCCATTCCGTCTGTTTCAGGAGCCGGATGGTGAGGAGGAGACAGAGAGATGGGTTCCGGCGCAAAACATCCAGTGTCTCCGAGTTGGAGATCCCCCCGCCCCTCGAGGAAAGGTGTGTCTGGGAACGCCCAAGAATGCACCAGGAGAGTGGGCCCCAGATCATGGCCAAAAGCTGACGTCACCAGGCTGGGGTCAGAGGTGATCCCCTTGGTTGGATACGTGGGACATGAGGCACATTCAGATCAGGCTCCAAAGGTTGAGGTCAAATTCATCTCCCAGGAGCCCTGTTCCAGGTGCTTCCTCAGCTCTGGCTCTGCCATGGGAAAGAGATGGGGATGATCCAAGGCAGCAGGGCCATGGAGTACAACATGGTCAGCTCCATCAGCCGGGAGCTGGGATTGGCACGCTCTGTGCCCCTGAGCGAAACTTGGCAGGTGGCTTGGCCCTGCTGCAAATGAAGTTGGGGCAAGTCCTGGGCAGACACAGATGAGCCCAGGACAGATGGCAATTGGGGAACGGAGAGGTGGGAGCTGAAAAGGGATCATGTGATGCAATTGCCAAGACTCCGTCCCGCGGTTGAGCCCTGGGCTTGAGAGCCTCATGTCTCTCTCGCTCGCGCTCCCCTTGTCTCCTAGGCTCACGCTAGAAGAAGCATCCTCCTGGAAGCGCTCGTTTGATTGCGTGCTGGTGAGCCCGGCCGGCCGGAGCGTCTTCATGGAGTTTCTGCGGACGGAGCACAGTGACGAGAACATGGCCTTCTGGCTGGCCTGCGAGGACCTCAAGAGGGAGCAGAGCCAGGAGCAGGTCTGTGAGAAAGCCAAGAAGATCTACCTGGATTACATCTCCATCCTGTCCCCAAAGGAGGTAGGTCTGGGACATCACTCCCTGCTTCTGCCTCCCATTGTTGTCACCTCGCCACGTAATGCAACAGCCAGGGAAATACAGCCCTGAGTGTTGGGGGGAGGGCCACAGTGCGTCTGTGTCTCCTCCTTGTAGCCACGCATCTGACGCCCCAGCAAGGGGATCGTCCCCCAAACAAGTGGCCCCGTGACCTCAGCCAGCTGAGCTTCCCTGCAGCTGTTGCCCCCTGCGGTAGAGTCGGTCCCCACTGTATTTGGAAGGGGCAAGTCCTCATGTTACGGTCTCCTGTCACGGTCTCCCAGCCTCACAGCTAGAGGCTGGGTCACAGTAGCTTGAGGAATATTGGAACCATCTGCGCCAGTGTCCGAGAAAGGCTGAGGTCTCGGTCAGGGCTTGGAGAACCAGGGTGTCCCAGCAGGGTGTGAGGTATCTGGGACCCTTGGTTCTAGCCCTTTGTTCGTCACCCTCTCCAGGTCAGCATTGACGCTGCCGTGCGTGAAGCTATCAACAGCTCCCTGGCGAGGCCCAGCGCATGCATGTTCGACGAGGCCCAGGCACAGGTCTACGCCCTCATGCACAGAGACTCCTACCCCAGGTTCCTGAACTCACCACTCTACAAGTCGCTAGAACAGAGACTTTCTGCTCTGACGTGTGACACCTAGCGAAGTCCTCTGCGTGCCCATGCATCTCAGGAGACCGTCAGCTCCTTCAGCTTCCTGCCAGCCCAAGCCACCAGGGAAGATGGGACAACCCTGGGGAAGACAACTTTGGGGACAGAGCCTCAGTTCTCTCTACCTGTGGGTCACACCACTGGTGTTTCAGTAGTGATGCTGATCTAGAAATTATTCTAGTGTCTGGACCAACCAAGAGATTTGGGGGAGAATTTCACTAGGTCCCGTAAAGATGGGAGAGCCTGGGGGTCCTAGAACTGGGAGCCTTTCAGAGCACTGCTTGTCCTAGAATTCGGATGGTATCTGAGCTGGGGTGGTTCTAGAGCACGGATGGCATGCATGGCTTGGACCTTAGTTCTAGAACTTGGATGGTCACAAGCTGGAGTGGATTCTAGAGTGTGGCTTTTTGTGTCTCATCTAGGTGTTCTACTACATGACTTGCACATATGGCTGGGTTTCTAGAACAAAGGTAATATTGGTTTTCTGGTGGGTTCTAGAGTGTGGAGCCTTCTAGAGCTGTGGGGGCTTTTAGGTGAGTAAACCTTCCAAACGTGAAGCACTGGTTTTTGTTTTAGGGACAAGAAAAATTACCCAGCAAAAATTAATTGTATTTCAGAATTTCTAAGAGTTTCAAAAGTCTCCAAAGTAGACATTCCCCCCACTTCTCTGAAAAGGCTTAGCTAGTCATTCAGTACTGAAGCAGGTCTCAGCTGGCCAGCAAAAAGAAATTCTATCCAGTGAATGCAAAAAGAAATCCACAGGGGATTAATTCAAACCAATGACTTGGCAATGGCTTGCTGGGTGCATCTCAGTAGAGCCCTGCAAATCCACAGATATCTGCTTTATATCTGTGGGTATCCACATCTGCGGATGTGGACGTCCCCGGCTCATTTTTGCAGATACAAATGTTGTATGTAGACCCCTGCCAGTCGGCAGATATCCACTTTACATCTACATCTGCAGATAATTTTTGCAGATATAAATGGGTTATGTCTACACTCGCAGCGTCTTGTGTGAGAATTATGCAAATGAGGCTAAGCGTGGACTATCGGCGAGCCTCATTTGCATACCTAATGAGCCGCCATTTTGCAGAAGAGGCTCTTGCACCAACAGGAGCTGTCTACACTACCCTCTTGCGCAATGTCGCTACGCTGATTATTTTCAGGAATCACGGCATGGCGCAAGAGGGTTTTTCTTGCGCAAGAAGGGGCAGTGTAGACAGCTCCTTCTGGTGCAAGAGCTTCTTCTGCAAAAATGGTGGCTCATTAGGTATGCAAATGAGGCTTGCCGATATTCCACGCTTAGCCTTATTTGCATATTTCTCACCCAAGAAGCCGCGAGTGTAGACATAGCCATGTTGTATGTAGAACCCTGCCAATCTGCAAATATCCACTCTAGATCCACATCTGCAGAAAATTTTTATAGCTGCGGATACCAATTTTGTATCCACAACGGACTCTACAACTCAGATGTTTCTAGCTACTACATAGTCTTAGGACCACACATGCAAAGACTGTCCACTTGTTTTGGCTGTCCACCTTGAGCCACCTTGGGCATGGTTTTCAGAGGCAGTGAGCCCCCCCATAAATCTAGTGGGAGTTATACACACCCAGAAAAGCATTGCAGAGGCATCACAATGAAGCTGTCCCCGTTAAAAAAAAAAATCTGAAAATGTTGGCTATTTGAACAGCTCCTCTCACTGACTCTACAAGTTCAGTCAAAGTTGTTTCCCATGCAGCATCACTCATGTTTTATGACTTGTGGCCAGTCCTATCTACCTCAATCCAAGCGACTGCAACTTCTAAACGCCCCGGCCCTTGTTAGCAGACAGAAGAGTGACTGTGTCTACCAATCTGTATATATACATAGTTACAAATAAATCTGTCCCTAAAGCGAGCTGCTTGGGAGCTTATGTATGAAATAAGCACATGCATCTATCCTGTTCCCTCGGGAGAGACATTCTCATCACAAAAGCCCCATTCACAGATGCCATTAATAATGATTTCTTGCTTTCATCCATAGAGCTCCCACATGCTTGACAGAGGAAGAACCATTATCCTTACTTTGGAAAATGGGAGGGGGAAACTGAGGCACAGAGCAGGGACATGACGTGGCCTAAAGGACCCCTATTCCTACTGTGGTACCCTAGCCCTGAGGACCATGCTGCCTCCATTGACTGGCATCTTTGGTCCACCATTTTTTAAGGAGGCCTGATTCCCCTTTCACTTAGATCAGCATAATTCAAGTGGTGTTGCAGGGGTCCTGCTGGATATGTTGGGCTGCTGATGTCTGCCAAATGACTGAACACCAGAAGACCCAGCCTTTCCCATCCATAGATCTCAAAGCACTTTGCAAATACAGTTCAGTAGCATTATCCCTACTGTATCAGCAGGGAAACTGAGGCACAGAGCAAGGATGTGCTTTCCCAACGTCACCCAGCAGGCCAGTAGCAGAACCAGGAACTGAGCACAGCACCTACTAGCCCCAGTCTAACCGCAGCCTCCTTAACAGTCGAAGGCCCAAATTGCCAGACGTGGCTTGGGGTTTTGGGTGCCTCCCTTTTTGGGGGGCTCAGCTTGAGAAGCCTTCAGAAAGCGCTGAGCTCTGGAAATCAGGGGACACCCCCAGTCACTTTCGGAAATGCAGACCTGGTGCCTGTTTGCTCTAGGGAAACGTGAACGCTCCCAGGGCACTTTGCAGTGGGATAGACTTTGCTCTGGAGGCCGTGGCCTAAAGGACGCCTACTCACACTGCTGCGTGCCCTTGGCTGCTCCCCGCCACCCCAGAGCTGGCTGCATGTCTGCAGCACTGTCTATACCGGGGTGGGCAATCATTTTTGACAGGGGGCCACTCCAAGGTTTTGGAAAGTGGTCGAGGGCCGCACTCTTCCATGATACTAATGGAGGAAATGTAAAGTTTGGGGTGAAGGTTGGGTGCAGAAGGGAGCTTGAGTAAGGAATTGGGGTGCAGGAGGGAGAATGGAGTCTGGGAGGGAGTTTGGGTGAAGGAGGGGGATGTGACCTAGGGCAGGGGACTGGAGTGCAGGGGTTTAGGATGTCACCTAGGGTAGGAGGGGATTGAGGTCTGAGGCAGGAGGTTGGGATGCCAGATCTTGGAGGGGGTGTGGGTATAAGAGGGGGACAGAAGGTTTGGGTATGTTGAGTGGGGGGCAGAGAGTTGGGGCAGGAAAGGGCTGGGTGCCAGAAGCAGGCTGTGGCCAAGAGATTTACTTGTCAGCTACCAAACTTGTCAGCCTGCAGAGCTTACAATGTTTCCCAGCCAGCTTGCCTGCTTGCCTGGCCATGCACTTCATGAATAACTGAGCCCAAGGGAGGGGGCGTGGTTCTTCTTGGCTGCCTGTTACTCCAATAAGGAGCTCACATTGGCCAGTTTCTGGCAGTCCCCAGCCAATGAGAATGTGCTGGGGTCGGGGTGGCTCCTAAAACTTCGCCCCTCCACTCCAGTTTCAAAACAGAAACGGAGCCTCGCGAGCCACGTTTCTGCCTGGCGCAGGGCTGCAGGGCAAGCTGGGGAGCCTGCCTGGGGTTCCCCACTGTCTCTGTGGGCCAGATCCTATGGCTTGGCGGGCTGGATCCAGCCTGCATTTTACCCAGGCCTGGTCTATACACAGCTGGTGAAGGGCCTTGAGCAGAAAGGCAGGAGAGAGAGGTTTATAGCTAAGTCCCCAGCATGCCGGGATCAGAAAGCAAGGCTCCCAGCCGGCTCTTTTTACACCTTTATTGCTCTAACTGGAGATTTTTTCCCCCTCTTTTCACCCCCCTTTATGGGCAGAGCGGGGACACGTTCTGCCTACGAGAAAAAACAAAGCCGGCTGATCCACATGCTTCATTTGGCGGGGAGGGGCCCTGCGGCTCTAGCTGGTGGAGACAGGATGAGAGGAGGCAGGCCCAACGCAGCTTGCACCCTGAGCCTGAAGTGGCAGGAGCTCTGACACTCTGTCCCCACCCCGGCCCTCCTCCACCCCATCCGAAATGCTCGCCCAGCCTGTGAGCACGGGGCCCAGGGGGTTCCATTCTCACTAGGTGAAGCTCAGAAATCTCCCCAGTTCAGAGTGATTACAAGTCTGGGGCTGAAGCTAGGAGGTGGCTCCGAGTAACAACGTCCCCATGGGATTCCTGCTCCACTTGGGTCAGGCGCACCGTTAAGAACAGCCTCCCTTGCCAGGAGTTTCCCATGGCCAACCCCCCCTGAAATCAGGCTACGCAAAGGCTACGAAAGGGCACAATTATTTACAACAAAGAGTAACGGAGCTTGGCAGGGATGGGGGAGGTTGCAATACGGGAGAACTCAGGTTCCAGGATAAAGGATAGCAGGGAACAGGAGTCCCGGCTTTGTGCAATACCCAGTCCTCAGGAAACAAGTCACCATTGGGAAAAATTGACGCCCAGGAATGGGGGCAGGTAAAGCCCTAACTTTGCATCCCTCGTTCCAGAGCCTTCAGCTCCTACCTTCTCATGCAGGAAAGGAAGGTGGGTGGTTTTAAAACAGGAACTCGGTGTCATTCAATGGATTTCTCGCCGAAGGGCAGGAAAGCCCTCGCTGGCTGGACAGAGGATTAATGATCCGGGGCTGTGCCACCAAAATGCCCTTTGGGAGGAGGGGTTAAAGGCAGCCCGGCTCCCTCTGTTGACAATCTTCTAGTCCCTTAGGGTACGTCCACACTGCCTGGCTATTTCGAAATAAACTATTCCAGAATAGCTTATTTCGAAACAGCACGTCTACACTGCAGGGAAGCCTCAAAATGAGTCCGAGGCCGGCTCCCCTAATGTAGCCATGCTATCTCGATGTAGAGCCCCAGAAGGGGAGGAATAACTTCGAATAGCCCTGGGGAGGGGCTATTTCGAAATAGCAGCAGTGGAGCGTCTACACACGCCTTCTTTCGAAATAGCTATTTCAGAAGAGGCGTTATTTCTCGCAGAATGAGGTTGACAGATTTCGGAATAAGCCGTCCGTTATTTCGAAATTACTTTGAAATAACAGACTGGCCGTGTAAACGCTCGCATTGTTATTTCGAAATAACACGTGTTATCTCCAAGTAACGGTGCAGACACACCCTTACATGCTTTTGCAAGGGGGGGTTTTGTGCCTCAGAGGCATGGCCACACTCGGAAAACGACCCCCCCGTACAGACAACCGTCTGCCTCCTCTCCCATGTATTGCACCCTGATCACCCAGCCATCTTCAACCCCACGGAAACCCCCTCACCCACACACCACCCAGCAGCCCTTCAGCCTGGTGAATCCACAGGGAGCTGAGTGATAACTGTGCTGGAGAACTGCTCGGGGGCCCCGTAAGTGTAGCATTAGAATTAAGTCTGTAAGAAACACACACAAATGCTGGAAGCTGCGCAGGCCCCTGGCAGCGCCAGCCGCGAGACCTGGGAGGTCACCAGCAGGACTCCAGGGTGCTGTCCAGTGCAATGGGCTTTCAGTGCCCCCTGGTGGCTTGTGCGAGGACTGCTGCTGACAGCCCTGGAAAGTTGTGCTTAGCCGGAGCAGAGTGGAGGGGGGGGGAGGAGGAGAGGGAGAGATGGGAGATGCCCCCCGCCTCTCCCCTAAGGAGACAAACCTGACTGTGGATTGCCCTGGGCAGGAAGCCTCTGCCTCCGAAAGCAAACACCGCCCGGGATTCGGAAAGCCTCATTTTCTTAGCAACGTCCCCATGGGAGATTCCCCGTCGCCGCCCAGACTGACACAGGCCGTTGAGACCGGGGAGCATCCGGCTCATCAAAACAAACCGATTCAGCTTACGCCGGGCAACGAAAGGGAAAGGCGCCTGTGCCGGGGGTGGGCGCCTCTGCAGCTCGGCTGCTGCTAGACGACGGGCTGGGAGCTCAGAGAACACCCCAAAGCCTCTGGAAAGAGCCCAGGGGAAACCTGCCCATCCCGCTCCAAGCACAGGCTGCTTCCTTCGGGGGCTGGAACGACCCAGTAGGTCCTTCCCGCCTCAGGTCCAATGGTAACTCCAGTCACAATATATACATCACCACAGCAGAGTCTCCTAATGTGGCACCCTGGCCTTGCACCTTGCGGGCTGGAGGCTCGGGTACCCCTACCCCCCGGCTTTTGCCAAACAATCCCTCCCCCAGCCAGAGAGTGAATCCTCATTACATTCTCGGGAGCCAACAGGGAGGGACTTGCAGCTCCTCTCTCGACAAGTTACTTCTCTTCCCCTCCCCTCCCCCACCCCCATTTTCAAATTTGGATGGTCAGAGATTTTCCTTCGCTGTCAGGCTGCAGCGTCTCCGCTGGTGGTCCGGAGGCGGCCTCAGCAGAACTGGAAGACAAGCCCACAGAGGAGGGAACACGTTAGCGAGGACTTTCCCACGGGGCCACAGGCAGCTGCTTAACACCACTACAGAGACCAGGCGCCCCTCAGGACGTGGGCTCGCGAGAGGGTTAGAAAGCTGCTGGTGTGGTCTAGGTTGCGGGGAGGATGGAACTGAGCACTGAGTTCTAGAGCACACAAGACACAGGCAGGGCTGTGTTCTAGATCCCCGGTTGCGGGAAGCGACGACGCTGCAGTGTTCTAGAGCACAGAACCAACCAGATGGGCTCAACACACTGGGAAAGGTGGCTAGAACATTCTAGAACAGGGGTGGGGAACCTTTTTTCTAAAGGGGGGGGCCACTGACTCACAGAAAAAAGTCAGTCATGGGCCTCCCACAGCCCTGCGAGGTGGGGGAGGCTTCTCTTGGGCTCCAAGGTGAGGATACAAATGTGGGGTTCAGGGTGTGCGAGGGGGCTCCAGGTGGGGCTGAGGGGTTTGTAGTGCTGGAGCAGGGTTCTGAAAGGGGTTGAGGTGCAGGGTCTGGGAGGGAATTTGGCTATGGGAGTGGGCTCAGGGCTGAAGCAGGAAGCTCAGGATGCGAGCACAGGCCCTGGAAGGGGGGTTGTGGGGCAGAATAGGGGCTCAGGATGTGGTGAGGGCTCCAGCCGGGTGCTGCTCACCTTGGCGGTTCCCAGTTGGAAGCACAGGAGGATTAGGGCAGGATCTCCCTGCCCTAGCCCCACGAAGCTCCTGGAAGCAGCCACCATGCGGCCAGGTGGCTCTGGGCTGTGCACGCAGCTCCCATTGACTGCGGTTCTTGGCCAATGGGAGTTGCAAGGGTGGCACAGTGGACTCTCAGACCCGAGCTTCCCTGATTGCCCCTGCACCTACGGGCCACAGGCATAGCCAACCAACCTGACACCCTACTTTCTTCCCATGGTGGAGCAAGCTGGGGCATGTGGCTCCAGCCCAGCAGGGTTCACCGAGGCTCAGGGCTTCCGTCCCATGGTGCAGAGACTTGCCGCGGGCCAGATAAAATTAAGCTGGGGGTTGGATACAGCCCCAGGGAATGAAGGTTCCTCCCCACCCTCTCCTAGAGCAGTGTCTCTCAACCAGTGGTACGAGTACCCTTAGGGGTGCTCGAGAGAAGTCTGGGGGGAGGGATACGTCGACAACTGAAGTTTGGAGAAAACCGAATTTTTGTTTGAAGATTTACAGCATTTTTTGTACTTTTTACACCCAAAAATTTCATTGCTCGCCTGGCTACGATTAAATTGTTTGAACAAATGTGTTGCAACGGTAGAAAAAAATGTTGTGTCTGAAAACTGTAGGTACTGGGGGTACTTATAATTTTTTAAGGGGTACTTTATAAAAAAAGGTTGAGAAACGCTGTTCTAGAGCACGGAACCAGAGCTGGCTGCTGCATTCTAGAGCATGGCAGACGGGGCTGAGGTGTGGACACTCCATTCTAGAGCACCCTGGTGGGTGTGGGTGAAACGGACTTAACCCCTAGGGCAACTGCTCTGTCTCCTTCGAGGGACAGCCCTGGATACAGACCTTCCAGCGGTTCCCGCACTCGTTACACAGCACGAACGTTGTCATGGGCTCATCAGCACTACGGGTCTGGACCTGCAGAGAAAACCAGCCACGGAGACTCAGCAGAGAGCACGCACGGGTCTGCATTGATTCCTTCCACGGTCCAGGCGATGAGGGAACGGGCTTGGGGCAGAGGGGAGGGAACCCTTGTAGAGGCAACGAGAATCGCCCCGGAGCTTTCTCAAAACTCTGTCCCCCGCCAAACCACAAACCAGCCCCTGAATTTGGAAAGTTCCTTAAGAACATAAGAACGGCCGTACTGGGTCAGACCAAAGGTCCTTCTAGCCCAGTATCCTGTCTACCGACAGTGGCCAGCACCAGGTGCCCCAGAGAGGGTGGACTGAAGACAATGATCGAGTGATTTGTCTCCTGCCATCTCTCTTCAGCCTCTGAAAAACAGAGGCCAAAGACACCATTTTATCCCCTGGCTAATAGCCTTTTATGGACCTAACCTCCATGAAATTATCTAGCTTCTCTTTAAACTCTATTATAGTCCTAGCCTTCACAGCCTCCTCTGGCAAGGAGTTCCACAGGTTGACTACATGCTGTGTGAAGAAGAACTTTCTTTTATTAGTTTTAAACCTGCTCCCTATCCTTCTATCTTCCCCCTCCCTCCCTCTTGTCTGATCATTCTGCACGTGCTGCCTCTGCTCCTCGCAGCGGCTCGGCCCTGGAGCTCCAGCCCAGCTGTGGAGGCACAAGAGGCCTGGGTACGCACTTAGGCCTCCCCCAAGGAAACATGCAGCCTGGGGGTCGAGTGGCATGAGGGGGCATGAACCTGACTGGAAGCTGCTGGCCTTCTGATCCCTGAGCTAATCCTCTGAAGGGAGCAGGGCATGACCCATCCCAGCACAGTAGAACCTGCCTGGACTATCAGAGTCTTTACCAGCAGGACTTGAAGGCGAGAAAGTCGAAGGGGAAGGAGCCCGTTCGACAGGGAGCAGGGGGGATGCAGATCAGCAGGACCCTGCTGTAGTTCCAAGCGGTTAAGAGGCCTTAGCTCTGAGCCCCTGGCATCCTCTGACCCTGCTGTAAGTCCGAGTGGGCCAGCCAAACCCTCTGCACTGACCCTGGCATAGGGGGTCCTTTCTCTGCAGCTGGGAGTGTCACGTCCCCTCCAAGCCTTCGCTCTGGATGGAGGCCCCCTGCCCACGGTGCCAACCTGGTTGTAAGTGCAATTCTTCTTCTTGCACTTGCCGCACTGGAAGAGGTCGGTGGTGGTGCCCCCGGTCTTCGCCATCTGATGCTCCCGGATGGCTTCCAGGGTCATGGCGTTCCTCAGCTCTTTCAGCTCATCGCTCGCCATTTCCTGCAATGGTCACAGCGCCCGGGTCAGAGCTACAGAGAGTCTCTGCTCTGACCGTTTTCTCCCTCCCAGGTTCCCAGTGTCCGTCGGGAAGCGTCTCTCCAGCACATGCATGTGTACATGCACACACATGAGCATGCACCCATACACACACGTGCCCACACGTGTGCACGCACACGCCTCCCACCCAGTTACGTACACACGTGTGCACATGCACACACACGAGCATGCACCCATACACACACATGCCCACACGTGTGCACGCACACGCCTCCCACCCAGTTACCCACCTCTGCTGTCATCCTAGCAATTAGGCTGGGGGAGATGGCTCCATTCAGCACGTTCTTCCGCAGGTTGGGGTTCTTGGGGTCCTTCAGGTTGCTGATACGACTCCTCACACGGTTGCGGTACTTCATGTCTGTGCTCTTCAGCTCCTGGAAGATATGTGGCACCGTCAAGGAATAAGAGCCCGAGGATAATGGGGTGCCGCAGCGGAGGGTTATGAAGGTACCAGTGAAGGTATCAGTGGCTCTTTAGAGAGGTTCATCGGGGCTTTGGGACACCCAGAGAACTGAGCCACACTCTAGGGCTTCATAGCAACTTCTCCCAAGGTTTCCAACTCCCAGGGGTTTGCTCTGGATGGTTGGATCCCAAAAAAACCCCAGAACTCAGGCAAACCTCCTCAGTTTCCCATGGCTTTGAGGCCAAGCCCTGGCTGGACCCTGGCTCCCTCGAAAACAGACCCAGAGCATAGTTCCCGCTAAGGTGCATGCCTGCATGGCCGTGCACCAAAAACTCTTCCCCCACCCACCTTCTCTGGAGAACAGGCATCTGCTCTGACGGGTGAGGCCAGCTGAGATGGTATGGGGAGAGAGCTGCTGGGGCAGAGGGCTGGGACCTGCTGCAGTTGCATGGCTGGGAGGGAGGCCTGCTCCTGTGTGGGAGGGGGCGGAGGAGGCCTGTTCTGGGGCTGAGAACGGGACCTGCTCATGGTGGGGGGGATGTCTGCTCTAGAGGCCAGGAATGGGACATGCCGCATGGCAGGGGGGGAGGGGGCAGTCTGCTCTGGCAGCCAGGAACGGGACATGCCAGATGGCAGGGGAGGGGGAGGGTTTGCTCCAGCAGCTGGGAATGTGTGTGTGTTAATAACTGGGGTGCCACGGTGGCACACGTCCAAACCAGCACCCATCACCTCAATACTGGTGCACAAGCCAAAACTCACTCCACTCGTGGTTGGAAAAATCGAGGGAACCCTGACCCAGAGTCACCTTCACTAAACCTGGGCTGAGATTTGAGCGTGTACTGGAGACCAGTGACTTTGGGGCCAGCCCTGTTTCTGTTGAAATCATGCTAGCGGGATCCTGTCCTTCCTTTTGTCTCTAATCACTTGTCTGTTACACACAACTTCCCAAACCCTGTAAGATACAACCTCTCCTCAACAACGGGTACAACCTCTCCTCCACAACAGGTACAACCTCTCCTCGACAACGGGTACAACCTCTCCTCGACAACGGGTACAACCTCTCCTCCACAATGGCTGCAGGAGAAGCCAGGCCACTTAACTTCTACTTCACCCTGCTGCCCCCCAATCCACTACCATGCTGCAGGTAGAATGTAAGGCTAAGCTTCAGTGCATCACTCAGCCAGCAGGTGGCGACGTGCAGGACATACCTCTCCCAGCCTTTCATCCCTAGAGCCCCTATGGATGTTGCAATGAAGGTGTCTGGCGGGTCTCCCTGGGAAGGAGGCTCTGTAGCCAGTCTCTGTCCAGTACAGGAGCCTGGCCTACTAGCAGCCACACTGCTGCAATCTACTTTGTAACAGCAAGGTGTAACCCCTCCTGTAGCTCAGCCTCATGTTTCAGACTCTCTCTCTCTTTCTACTGCACAAAGCAAAGTTAGCACAAGTCAGGTGCTGAGCACAAGCCAGGCCCTGTTACAAAACATGCCTGATGGCGAAACCCCACCCACTGCTGGGCACAGACATGCACGGACGCATATTCCAGAAGGGTAGCCCCAGACCCCCCCGTGCGGGCTCACGTGTGAACACACTCCCCGAAGGTGACCCAGGGTCACACTCCCCCCTCTGAAAGAGAAGGGGAGGACAGGGTGATGGATAGGGATGTTTTGATCGAACCACCGGGTACAAGGTGAAGAGTGGTAACTAACCACATCAGAGGGGCCCGGTGGAACCTGTTTGAATCAGTCTATAAAAGGAAGGCCAGACGGGGGTGTCTTTGGCCAGCCGAGGGGGGCGTGGAAAGCCCTGCCATTTACTCAGGCCACTGCATCGGGCCCCTGTACACACTGATCCGGGGAGCCAGGACTGTGCTTTGTTGACAGTAACCCTGGCCGGGTGCCTCTGCTTACAAATCAAGGCGTGTCTCTTCTGTGGTGCCAGCTGTCTGCAGAATGGGGACAGCACCGGGCACACCCCCGCCACCAACCACCGCGCCACTTCGGAAATCCATGGCAGAAGTTGGTCTTAGGGTTACTGCCCTGCCGGCTTGCAAAGGGCCTTTATATTTGCCAACCCAGCTGCAGTGTCAGCCTGCGCGGGCCCCGGGGCCAGCTTCTAGGAGGGGCTGAGTTCCCACAACGCCCACGGACGTCGGCCCCGGGAATAACTCACTTTTCCATGCGCTACCACCCTCCCCCCCCGCCGGTTTCGGGTCTGGCTGCGCTGCACAGAGGTGTGAGTGCAGCATGCGGAGCCACACCTGAGCCAGTCTCCATCACAGCTAGCTGAACAACAACCGCAGCCAAGCCACAGCAGCCTGGGTGGTGGGATACATAGACACCGACGTCCCCCTCACCTGGCAACGGTGACTGACAGTCCCCAGGCCACGCCCCCACTCCTCCTCCACCACCACTTCGTGCCCCCTCTCCCAAGAGCTCCCCATCCCCACTCCTACCTTCCCTCCCAGCATCTCCAGCTCGCCACAGAACAGCTGCTCGGGCCGGGTGGGAGGGAGGCAGAGGAGCTGATCGGTGGCACTGCTGGGTGAGAGGTGCTGGGGGAGGGGGGAAGGGGAAGGAGCCTGGCTAAGCCCCTGCTAATTTCTGTCTGAACCGACGCTGGGGCTCACTGGACGGTCCCAGGCATTGGCTTTGTTAATTTACATCCAGCTAACGGCAGTGGGGGAGACCCGAGGTTCAAGCCCGCCCACCCCCACCAGGCCAAGCGGAGCCGGGCTGCCCTTGGGTTCAGGCTCAGCCCCTGGCGGCAAGGCCGGCAAAGGATATGATCTTCGATTTCAGAGGCCATCTTGTCACAGTTGACGCCGAACTGTTTGTAATCATCTGCAGCAGAGGGAGCGAAAGAGAAGGGGGTTAAACGCGCGTCTGAACCCGGAGCACATGCTGGGGAGTACAAAGGGCTCCATCCAAAGAATTCATTCATTATTGGTATAACCACTTGACACAGAACCCGAATGATTTTTATCCCGCCAGGTTCGTTCTCGCAGGGTTGTCAACGTGCCCCAGGGCCACACCCGTCGGCTTGTTAATGCAGAGTCGCTCCCGAGCCACAAACAAACGATTGTCCTAAACTTCTTCACAACGTCTGTGGTTCTAGGGTGGCTTATGCGTTCCAGGCCGCACACACTGCTTTGTTATGGTAGGGTTGCTCTGAGAAGGGCTGGCCCGCAGGCAGTGCAACAACTGGGTTGTGTTAAACCCAGTGAGCAAGCGACACAGTGTATGCAGGCTGCACAGAGACCACAGGGCGTGGAAAGGGGCGACCTGGCGGAAGCCGAGAAATCTGGCCCAGTGTTCTTCCTCGCTGGGTTTTCCAAAGCTGCCGAAGTGCCCAGCTCCTATTTGTGTTACAATCCCAGCCCCTCGTGCCTACTCCGACCCCCCCTCCACAGCACAAGGGAGACCTTGAAATCAGTCCTGCCTGCGAGCTGTCCCGGCCCCCTCTCACCGTCCATTTTCAGGGCAGCGGAGATCATCTCGATGCACTTGTCCCGGACCGAGTCTCCTGTGAGGTAGCAGGACGCCAGGAAGCAGATGGTCGGCGCAAACGTGGGGCTGGAGGGGCTGCTGGGCGTCTGGGCTTTGGGTTTGGTGCTGCTGGCTCTGGAGAGAGGAGACGGGAAGTCACCACAGGCAGCCCCATGACGAGGCACCTTCCCCATTAGCCATAGCCTGAGGGGCGGCTCCCGGCACCCACTGAAGCATCTTCACGGGCACGGGGTCCCTCAGTGTGACACGTACGTCCGCTGCCCTGGACCCTCTCTGCCCCACACTGGCCAGCTGCAGTCCCCAGGTACGTCTCTCCCGTGCACAGGGAGTGGCTGCAGACCTCCAAGCCCCGGCCCTCCATCCCACGCTGCAATGGGTCTGTCTCCACCCACTAACCCACCTGCAAACTCCATCGGTCCCCACTGGCCTGCACACGTCTCCTGACAGTCCTCCCCTCTTCTGCTCGCAGGCCTTGGCAAGATCCATCCATGCTGGGAATTTCCCACCATTCCCTTACGAGCCGAGACCTCACAATTTGGCCTCCCTGCATCTTTTAATTGGGTACCCCAGGGCTCTTATCCCCATTTTACAGATGAGAAACTGAGGCACAGAGAGATGAAGGCTCCGATCCTCTGAGGTGTTTAAGTGCCACCCTCCCATTGGTTTCCATAGGAGTCAGGTGCCTTTGGAGGATCTAGGCCTAAGTGACTTGCCCAAGGTCTCACAGGCAACCGGTAGCAGACAGGGACTTGAACCTAGCTCTCCTGAGTCCCAGTAGCTCTAAGCTCTGGGCCACTGAGCGCGGATGGCCTCCAGCGTCATCTTCTCTAGGCTGTCCCACCGTCCCGCCACCCTCCCATTGGTTTCCATAGGAGTCAGGTGCCTTTGGAGGATCTAGGCCTAAGTGACTTGCCCAAGGTCTCACAGGCAACCGGTAGCAGACAGGGACTTGAACCTAGCTCTCCTGAGTCCCAGTAGCTCTAAGCTCTGGGCCACTGAGCGCGGATGGCCTCCAGCGTCATCTTCTCTAGGCTGTCCCACCGTCCCCTGAGCCTCCTGGAATTGAAACAGGGAGAAATAAGAGTGCTGGTGATGCCAGCAGAGAAACCAGGGCTGAGGTTGTTCTGGTGACCCCAGCCACGGATTTGTAACCCCACGGAGATGGGCAGGGTCTCCACAACTGATTGTCAGGAGGGATCTCAAACGCTCAGAACTAGCGGCCTGAAGCGTTCTTCCACCAACTTGCTCTGGTGTTGGCTCATTTGCATGGTGGGATCTGAGGTTACAACCTTCTACGGCCTGCACACAAAGCCTCCCAAGTCCTGGGGGAAGGGTGTTTGGTCTTTTGGGGCATGTCTGCCTGGCAGTGAAACACCCGCGGCTGGCCTGTGGCCGCTGGCTTGGACTCACAAGGCCCAGCCCTGGGAAAGGTGAAAGGAAGCCGATGCGCCCAGTGTAGGGCACCAGCAAGGGACTGCCAGGCACAGACTCCAGCCCTGGTGCTGCGCTGGCCAGGCAGCACGGTCCCCACTCCCCTGGGCAGCTCCAATGCTAAGCCTGCTGGGCTGCTCCATCCCCACTGCACCCACCAGTCCTACCTCTCCGGCCAGTCCCGGTGTAGGCCATCCGGGCTGCACAGTCCCTACCTCTCCGGCCAGTCCCGGTGTAGGCCATCCGGGCTGCACAGTCCCTACCTCTCCGGCCAGTCCCGGTGTAGGCCATCCGGGCTGCACAGTCCCTACCTCTCCGGCCAGTCCCGGTGTAGGCCATCCGGGCTGCACAGTCCCTACCTCTCCGGCCAGTCCCGGTGTAGGCCATCCGGGCTGCACAGTCCCTACCTCTCCGGCCAGTCCCGGTGTAGGCCATCCGGGCTGCACAGTCCCTACCTCTCCGGCCAGTCCCGGTGTAGGCCATCCGGGCTGCACAGTCCCTACCTCTCCGGCCAGTCCCGGTGTAGGCCATCCGGGCTGCACAGTCCCTACCTCTCCGGCCAGTCCCGGTGTAGGCCATCCGGGCTGCACAGTCCCTACCTCTCCGGCCAGTCCCGGTGTAGGCCATCCGGGCTGCACAGTCCCTACCTCTCCGGCCAGTCCCGGTGTAGGCCATCCGGGCTGCACAGTCCCTACCTCTCCGGCCAGTCCCGGTGTAGGCCATCCGGGCTGCACAGTCCCTACCTCTCCGGCCAGTCCCGGTGTAGGCCATCCGGGCTGCACAGTCCCTACCTCTCCGGCCAGTCCCGGTGTAGGCCATCCGGGCTGCACAGTCCCTACCTCTCCGGCCAGTCCCGGTGTAGGCCATCCGGGCTGCACAGTCCCTACCTCTCCGGCCAGTCCCGGTGTAGGCCATCCGGGCTGCACAGTCCCTACCTCTCCGGCCAGTCCCGGTGTAGGCCATCCGGGCTGCACAGTCCCTACCTCTCCGGCCAGTCCCGGTGTAGGCCAGCTGGGCTGCACAGTCCCCGTCGCCCTGGAACTTGGCCATCAGAGCTGCACAGTGGCCGCACTCCCAGCCCTGAGCTCCCCACCTCCACCCCGAGCCCCCTGCCCTGAGCTTACAGCCCTGTGCAGATACAACATTTCCACACTTGTATCTGCAAAAATGAGCCATGCATATCCAACGTGTGTGTAGGGTTCTAGATACAAAATGTGTACCTGCATCTATAGCTGTAAAAATGAGCCGTGGATGCCTGCGGATACTCATGGATATAAAGCAGATCCGCAGGGCTCAGGCTGAGCCCCGCATCCACCCACCTGCCCGGACTCCTCCTCTTACCCCACTAGGACTCCAGCACCCTCCACCTCCTGCCCTTCCAAACTCCCTGCCCTAACTCCTGCACCCCCTACATCCCCATCCCCCACCTGAGCTCCGTCCCTACTAGGGATGTGAACGACTAGTTGACTACTTGCTCCCCTGCCCTTGCTGCCTCTATCAGAAAGAGGAAGCAACGGGGGAGGAAGGGAAGACGAGGGGGCGCTTCAAAGCGTCAGCGCTGCATGGAGCCCAGGGTCAGCTGGGGACTCCGAGTCCCCAGGCTCCATGCGGCACTGCTGCTTTGAAATTCCACGGGGCGCACGGGGCCAGCAGGGACAGTTTGAGTCCCCCGCTGGCCCCACGCTCCCCACAGCGCTTTTGCCTTTGAAGCGTAGCAACGGCCCTATGGCTGTTCCTACACTTCAAAGGCGGAAGCGCCCTTATTGACTAATCAAATAGTTGGTGAAAACTGCATCGACTATTCAATTAGCCAATGAATCTAAATTTCACCTCCCTACACCCAGCCCTGAGCCCCCTGCACCTCCAAACTCCCTGCCCTGAGTCCTGCACCCCCCACATCCCCAGCGTCCCCAGGCTCCATGCGGCACTGCTGCT